TTCCTTGTAACAATATTTATGACTGGACTAGATACTTCAGAGCAATCTATCTTGAAGCAACATAACAATGAATGCCTCAATAAAAGGCAAAAGACCAAATGGAAGGCCAAAAAGCAGTCGGATAGATAGAATCAACAAAGCTGCAATACAGCTGAGTGCAGATAAATGGAAAAAATGGAAATGAACGAGCTGATATGATACAAAAATGGTGTTCTTGATAACGGAAAATGCAGTATCTTAAAAGAGGAAGAAATATTAAGTAAAGCAAAACAAATGGACTGTATCTTTGTTAATAATTGTCCAATTTTTATTTTGTTTTTTTTTGGAATTTACTAATCTTTCTAATTATTATGATCAAAACAATCAGAAAAAATGCATAATGTAGTTATTCACAAATAATGTTTCTTTTCATTCATAAATTTTCCCCTTAAATTTGTGGGTTTGTGGCTATTTTTTTCCACCTTAAGGTGAAGGAGATCTTTAAATCGAGGGCTCAATCATTGGATTTAATGATGAATTCGCGAAGTTATGGCGTTGCCAGAAAAAAACACTTTTTAGAAATAATATATAAGATAGAAGACCTGTGCTGATATAGTCGTCATGGCAACAGCTTCACTTTTCATTATGACGCTTTTGCCTGGCGTTATCTAAAACATCCATAACTCCTCAGAATTTGATCATAATTCAATGTTTCTACAACCGATGGAAAGCTGAATTATTGCTATTCATAACCGTATAGATAACTTTTCGATTAAAGACGTTCATAAAGAATAAATAAATAAAAACTGTTAGCAGGTTTTTATTTTGTACCTTCAGTTCTAAATAATTTAGGGGGGGGTATAGGTTGTGTCATTTGGTGTAGTTTATGAGGTCTTATTATTCCTGCTAAATTTCTTGTGGATAGGTAAAAGAATATTGAATTTATCACTCTTATGGTGATTTTCGAAAACTAATCCAAGAGGGGTGCCTTGGTTCCAATTTGTATTTTTTTGTAAAAAAATTTTATTTTCCGATTGCTGTGGTAATACACATTTTAGGGTCTTTCGAGTTACGAAATACGAATATAATTCTAGTTTTGACATTGTACCCTCCGAGGCGTCTGAACAGAAGATGGCCTCGTGATCTACTATATGTAAATATATTATTAGAGTGCTACCAATGGGTAGTTTCTCAACAAGCGTTTTCATGTGATTGTATTATTACAGTGTGCGCGTTTACTAGTTGTATTTTTTTGTAATACAGTTGTAAATATCAACGGATAAAAAAAAAATAAAAAATCGTGACTACAGGGTCAATTTTTCGATGTAGGACTGAATTGCTCGATTTAAAACTAAAACCAAGAATGGTTAAAAACAACGATAACTGTTCGGTATGTAACTCTTATGAAAAAGAGATACCATTGGCTTTTTGGATACTTGTGACGTGTAAGTGAGATAAGAGAGAAATGTTATGGGCAGCGTGCCTGTTCGCCGGAAGAATTATTTTGTTTCTTAAAGGGTTCTAACTGGAAAGCCTTAAGCAATTATGTACAGCAGGCCACATTGCAAAGATCTCAATTTGTCAGTTAGTAAATATTGGTACAATATCGTTTTTATTTATTGTAACGTTAGTTATATTGTTGTATTGTATTTCATTGCTATTATTATTATTGAAATTAAATTTCTTATTTATTGGATTTATAAGGTATTAAAATAAACGCTATTTGAACAAATGAAACAGCGAAGGAAGAAATTTATAGAATGAATGTATAGATATATAATAATACTGTAGATATATTATTACTCTTTTATTTTAGTTATAAATGTGATGAATATTTATTATTAATTACACACATACCTCGACAGACGGAATTTTCCATTGTCTATATGTTGTTACTTGTATTTTACTGTGTATGTTTTAAAATAATAATAACCACGTTTTCATTCATCCATTCAACTCTGTTTCTCCTTAAAAAAATATTTGAATACACTTTACTTCTTCGGTGGGTACAAGTTATTTAAATTTTACAAATTTCTAATCGATTTCCATGATTTTCTTTTTTTTCACAACTTTTTTTCCTTAAATTTCGGTATGTGACTATTTTTCCAATCTGAAAGTGAAGAAGATCTTTAAATTGAGGGCTCAATCATTGGATTTGATGTATAACTGAAGAAGTTATGACGTTGTGACAAAAAAACAGCTGTTAGAAATAATATATAAGATTTGCCCAGCTGTTATTGTCATTTGTTCATTGAATAATTTTTCTATACTAATTATTCGCACGAGACAACAATTCCTTCTTTACCGATATTGAATAATATAATTTATTATTACATTGATGTACTTTGAAAAGAAAACCTGGTCGAGAACACGAGAACTCTAATGTAATTTTCTAAATAGGATCTTATCGTGAAATATATTTTAGACCCCGGGTACAGGTACAGGTAGCTTGTGAAAGATATGCAATGCACTGCTACGAAACTAAGTGATAGGCTGTGTTTATCAATATTTACAACCAACATTGTACCAGAGCTCCTGTCTTCCATGTCTTGCAAAAATGGCGAATAGCTACGACAATTTCCTAATTAACTAAAGAACATATTTTATTAGACGTTTTAGAAAGCGATGTTCTTTTTGCCTTCCTTACATCCGTTACATCACATTACCAATGTATGCGTGGTACGTGGTACGATACCTTTTTATAAAATTATTAACATCCGTTTGAAACTTTGAGGTTTTATCTTATCGTAACGTACAACTTTTTTTATCTTTAATAACTTTCACAAATGAGACATTTTGTTTCTGAAATCAATTAATTTAATGAAGTACTAAAAACAAATTAATACTCATTTGCGTTCCATTCGAAGCTTAAGATAATTTATCACAAATCGTGAAAGAAGGTGGCCTACAAAATTACGTTGGAGGTGGAATTTACACCAAAGGATCCAATATTTTTGTAGCCCACATTTTTGAAGTGAGAAATATTTTAGGCGCGTTTTGGACTTTTTTTTCTGTGGAGAGTGAATTTGATTGAGCCGAAATATTTCCGATGAGTATGTAACTGTACTACTACCTCCGTTCTAATTAATAAATGCGTCAGTGATAAGATATCACCATGTGATATAAATAGGTAATAAATTAGGAAGTTACTCTAGGTTATACAGAGTTAGGTGTACTGAATTTTTGTACCACTTATAATATTAATCATATAACAAAATAATATTAATATTATATAATAGACCATTCCTTTTGTAAAGCCGAACTCTAAAACTTGTGAGTGTAATCAATAATTCATGTGAAGTTATATTTATTTTGTTAAAATAAATATGTTTATCTTGTTTATTTGTGGTACCTATTTAATAGGTAAGTTATGGTAATAAATGGGTAATAATTGGTGACCCCGACGTGATATTATTCTTATAGGAAAAAAGTTACATTCGGGTAAATTCGGCTGGATTCGGCTGATTAAAGTGTTTTTGCATTTGGATTAAAATATCTCAAAAAGTAAAAAATCGGACTTGTATACTGTAAGCGAGGTAATTTTTCAACATCTTATCTTGTAATGCGCTATTATTCAAAATTGTATCTTAACGCCAGGCCGTTGTCAGAGAGACGATTGTGGAAAAATAATTATGAAAACCAAATGATAAAGAGTTTTATTTAAGATATGGATTAAAATATCTCAGAAACTAAAAATCGGACCTGCATACCGTAAGCGAGGGAAATGTTTAGTATTACATCGTCTTTATAATGAGCTATTATTTATAAATTTCATCTTATTAATATATGTTGATGTTTTCACTCCTATCATGATAGAAGTGTAAACAACAAAAAGGCTAACATATCAAGTTCTATACATATATTTAAAGGGAATCGAGAAAAAGACTTTAGCCAAGTTTCATTGAAATTGGTACATCGTTAAGGCGCTGCAGTCAATTGCAACACAGGTTTTTCAGTCTCTATTAGTGTTATGGCCACCTCGCTGTTGCAAGATCAAGATCAAAACTGATAAAAAATCGATTTTTTGAATAAAAATTAAGGCAAAATAGTTAATAATGCTTGATAATTTTAGATACTGTGTGCAAAGAAGTATAACCAATATACTTTTGCTTTTCTAATTTTTTTTCATTCTGGCTTAGTTAGGTTTGCCCTATCTATAAAAATACATTAATATCTCTATAGTACTAAGCTAACAGGTAATTTCAAGACCGTTACAAGACTCTTGCGCAAGACCAAGACTCGTCGGTTTCGCATATGGGCAGTCGCTATCTCGGAAGGAAAGGACGGATAGTAATGTCGAAGTAGGCGAATCCTCGGGGGACTTACTTTGTTTCTAAATTTAAAATAAAATTGGTCCAGTAGACTCGGAGAAAATGCAGCGGACAGACATGTTTTTTTATCCGATTTTCGAATTCTACTCAAATTTTGAGGGGGGTTAAGTTTTTGAATTTTTTGGACGATTACAATGGTTCATTATTTAAATGATAAATCAAATTGGTGTTTGAATTTGACTAGTTAGATTTATGGACAGGCGTTCTGTTTTTTATGGTACTAGCTGATGTACCCATCGTTGACGGGTTTATAGTTAAAATTGGATTGGGAAAGGAACCGAAGTAAGTGCCTAACCGGGATCTCTAGACAAATTATTCAAGAATTCATAACTTTGCTTCTACTCAATATTTTGTTTTCATTTAAAGCCTATGTTTTAAGTCAACCAAACCTTAATATAATGTTAAAATTTCAAAAGTCTACAATAAGCTATTGTTGAGTTTACAAAATTTCGTTACAATGCGGTCATACAGACAGTAGATTTGTTGTCTGCAATGTATGAAACCGAAACATATGAACAACATGTGGGTTGATTCTATTCAATGTACAGACGAAATCTTTATTTTATTTTTTATTTTTAATATTATCCTTAAGCGTGATTAAATTTTTTTGTCCAATATATATTAAAAAAAATCTATTATTATATTAAATAATATAAAATTTTATATAAATAAATAAGGCTTTGAATTTACCTTTGATGCCATGTTCGACTGATCCAGGTGAAGAACTGATGTCGAGATCCTGAGGAACAGACTATATATACTGGAAGGAGTTGCCCAAGAAGGGTGGAGCACCCAGGCTCTAGTTCACGGTCTTCAGGAGGAAGGACTCGACCTTGCCAGTCGATGGACCTACATCCTCCAGTCTGATACATTTAATTATATTCATGGATATATAGTATAGTTATCTACACTATATATATAAAATAGAACAGAATAGAATAGAAAATAACTTTATTCTGGAACAAAGTCCCTTTAGAATAACAAAATAGAACATAATTGAAAGACTACATCTGGCCAAAACAAAACAATAATAAAAACAGAGAAAGTAAACAAAATATTAGTTAAACGAGCTATATACAAAAAAATAAAAAAACGCTGCAAATTATCTCACAATGGTTTATTATCTCCAAACAATTATACATCTAAAGTAACATTACCTTCCGAGTTACAAATAAAAATAAACAAAAGGTGATTCCAATTATTTGACTAAACTGTTTTTCTTTAGTCATTAGTAATATGCTAAAAAAAAATAGCATTAATTCATTAACATATTCGAGTAGAACATATTTTTAAAAAACCGGTGACCATATCTTTGCTCCTAATTGTCCGATTTTAACGGGTTTTTTTTTTTTGGTTTTTTAGGAAATTTCGTATACTTTTAAAAAACTGTATACAACATCAACAAAAAAGTAAAAACTTTTCGAGTTATTTGGAATTTAATTTTACCATCCCTCGTAACTTTTTTTTCAGCTTCTTTTCGTCGAAGTATGTTATATAGATAAATTTAATGGGCGTCGAGAAAATGACTTTAGCGAAGTTTCATTGAAATCTGTACATTCATTTAGGAGCTACAGTCTATAGCAACGCAGGTTTTTCGACCGCCATTTTTAAAGTTAAAGGCGGAGAGTAATGTCGATGAAGGATGATCCTCGGGTGACCTCTGATTTTATATCCAAATTTGAAAAAAATCGGTCTAGCAGTTTCGGAGAAAATGCGCGGACGGCGGACGGACAAAAAAATGTTTATTCGTTTTTCGAATTCTAGGCTTCCTGAAACGTGAAACCTCAAATTTTGAGAGGGGGTTAAGTTTTTGAATTTTTTGGTCGATCACAATGGTTGATTATTGAAAAAAATAAACCAAAATCTCTATACAAAACACATAAAACTATGATAAAACTACGTACAGTAGAAACAATTATAATTATTCACTTTTGAAAAATAAAATAATAAAAAATACATTGAGTTCTTCTTTAAAATGAAGTGTGTTTCTGCTAACAAAGAAAAGACAAAGCTGACAATATAAAATGTCAGAGTATTTAAATAATGAATAATATGTAGACTCATCATTGTCTAATTCTAGCTATAGGTACAGATTTAATTATATAAGAATAAAAAAAAAAAAACAATAGATGCATTCAGTGGCATTAAGAGCAGGAAGATATTGTAATATCCCTAGTGAAGTTTACAGTATAGAATAGTACTATCGTTTGATGATGAATGATATAATAGAAATGTATAATATCAAAAGTTTAGCAAGCATCTGACTGTTTTTGGGATAGGAATTGGAATAGGAGGGTTTTGAATGTGGATATGGAGGGGAATGCCGAATTTTGATAGGTAGAGAATTCCAGAAATTGACAGCGCGAGCTATAAAGGAGTTTTGAAATGAGACAGATCTGTGAGAAGGGATGTATAGGTCAGAAGGTCGAGATCTTGTTGAAAGGGAGTGGACTGAGGACTTGAATTGGAGAAGGTTGTAGGCGTAAGAAGGACGATGGTTGTTGATGATTTGATAGAGGAACGTACCTACGAAATATTGTCTTCGAAAGGAGGGGAAGAGCCACCTTAACTCAGTGTGGTGGTGAGAGACATGGGAGTACCTCGGGGCACCTAAAACAAATCTTACGCATTATACTACGATACCATTGGTGCATTTTCCGTTTCTCAGGAGTAATGTTGCCCAAAATCGGTCTTGGTCTAGCACTTTGCAAGGCCGTCTAACTGTTGCAAAGACCAAGACCAGGACTGGAATAAAAATCGATTTTTTGAAGAGAAATTAAGGCAAAATAGTCGCTAATACTTGACAGTCTTAGTTACTGTATGTAAATAATTGGAATAATCGATATACTTTTGCATTTAACTTCTCTAATTTTTCATTCGGGCTTAGTTAGATTTCTCCTATCTAAAAAATTACTGTAATATCTTTATAGCAATCAGCTAATAAGTAACTGCAAGACTGTTGCGCAAGACCAAGACTGCTCGGACTCGCATTTGATAAAATTCGTTAAAATAATTGTGAGGTTTCTAAACTCAGATAGTTTTCCTCTAGAAGTGTATTTTAAATCCACAAAATGAACCGTTTTCGAGAAAAATCATAATTTTTGCAAAAAGTCTTTTTGATGTTATTGGATATTGCACAACATTTTTATGTTTTAAAAAACATTGCAAATTAATACACGATGGTTTATTATTTCAAAACAATGTTTAATTATAATTATATGTTAGTGCAAAAGATCGTATGCAGAAAAAATTGATTTTTTTTATGTTATTATTTTTTTTTTTTTAGGAAGCCTACGTTTATATATTTTTTCATAATTAAGGCAAAAAAACTTTAAATTTTCTTTCAAATCCCTTCATTCACATTTATCATCTCTAACGTTTCGAGACAATTTTCCCATCAATAGGAAATTACTGGAAGCCATACATATAACAAAAAACAATAATAGAACAGTAAACAATAAAACGGATACAAAACATTTAGGTACAAACTATTCGGACATAATATTCAATATTGAAATTTAAAAAAACAACAATAGAAAAGAAAAACACAACAAGCAGCCATAATAAGAAATAAGAGGACAAGTGCCAAGTACAGTAATGATATTGAAGACAGCCGTGACAGTAATGAACGTGACAAATATTTAAATTTTTGAAAAATGGTGCTACATCAAAAAAGCAAGTTTCAGTGAATATAAGCATTGCTCTGATGAAGGGGAAATTGTCCCGAAACGTTAGAGGTGATAATTGTGAATAGAGGGATTTGAAGGAAATTGCAAGTTTTTTACCTTATTTATTGATTTTTTTTTACAGAACAAAAAAAACTTTTAATTCTCTATAATTTTTATATTATTTATTGAACACGTCCACTGTATTTTATGTATTTCATGAATTAGTTTAGGAAGTGAGAGGAGAAAATATGAGGAGGAATCACTAGCGGATCCAGGAATTAATTTTGGGGAGGGGGAGAAGCCTTAAGCCCAAAAGATTTTTTTTCATATATATATAACGACAATTAATTTGAAAAAAAGAAAGAAACTAACCACCTGTATAAAATGGTGTTTAAGTGCTTCTTGAAGTCCTATTAAATATAACTACACGAACAATAATACTTTAAGAGATAGTTTTTAATATTTTTTTCTGCAAAACATGGTTATATTTTACCATTTTGGGGAAAAGGGGCTTCAGCCCGAAACCCTCAGTAGGTCCGCCTGTGGGAGAAATAATTTTTTAAGGGAGAGAAGGGAAAGCAAGGAAAATAAAATATTAATGAATGAATGAAAGAAATTGTCGAAAAAAAAAATAATAATAATACATATAAAAAATATTGTATACTATGGTAATATATATATTGATGAATCTATATATTTTTATATTAGTTTAAATAAAATGTCCATAATAATTGATAAGTGTCTGTACCAACCCAATATAATTGGGCAACACCCTTTTGCCCATTGTGAAAATAAAGTAATTCTCTCTCTATAATTTCATATTTTATTACTTGACTAAGTGAAGAGAAACGAGGGTTACGTGTTTGGATCGTCCGCTAAAAGTCACGTTACCCGTTTTTGTGTGAACGGCTGGATCGATTTTTATGTTTGATACCTCAAATTATTCTGTAAAATCCTCTGAATATTTTGAAACAGTTTGAGCTAAAAATGAAATGAAATGAAAAAATAATTTTATTCTAGGACTACTGTCCCCTAAGAATAATAACAGAGTTAAAAATCTATGGGTCTTAGTCTGACATAATAATAAAAATACAAATTAATTTACTGTTAATTGTTACTTCAATTGTGCAATAGATGGAAATTAAACAGAGTACAGATGCAAGTAATTTTACATGTTAGGGGAAGTTTAAATGTGGAGTAGGTGTTGGAACAGGAGTTGTTTGAAGGAATTTGTGGACGAGAATTGACGCATGGAGGTAGGAAGTGAGTTCCATAAGGAAGCAGCACGAATGACGAAGGATTTGCTGAAGTAGGAAGTTTTATGTGAGGGGATATATAAGTCTATAAGTTGAGACCTAGCAATGAGAGAGTGGATATAGGAGCGTAGAGTAAGGAGTTCCATGATGTAGGGAGGGTTTTTGGTTCTGAAGACTTGGAAAAGGAAAACACGAAGGAGGAATTGCCGTCGGGAAGTAGGATAAAGCCACTTCAACTCGATGTACCAGAGTGAAACATGTGAACACCTGTGGATCACAAAAATGTATCGTATGAAACAATTCATGAGTATGAACCGTTATGAATAAAATGAGTTCAGTGAATTTGCAAAATGTTTTATAGCGCTATTTTGATCGAGCGGCTCGAAATCTTCTCAGGAGAGGTTTTATGGCACAATTTGCGCAATCAAAATTTTTGAGGGGTACATATTTTAACGGGTTTTTAAATTTTTGAGAGGGCAAATTTTGACGGGGCTATGAATTTTCGAACTAAGGTACAAGAACAAAACATTTTTTTTTTTTTAGCTTTAATGTTTTATTCACACCTGTCATAATGCTAATGACAACCAGTGAATGTGTAATCAATTTTCTAAATATAATGTCATGAAAGGCATGAGGAGGATCAGTGCCCAGCGACACTTCACTCGGCGTGATATCTACATTAGGCGAGGAGGTCCCTCATCCAGCTCCTCTTCAGTCTCCTGCAGACGTTACCTGGCATATTCGTAGTGGCCATGTCATTTATAAGTGTATTAGGATGTCCTTGTAAGTTGTCATGGAATGAATTCGTATGTGTTCGCTAACAGTCGGCATATGGAGGTCAGTATGTAAGGTTATGTTGCTAACGTACCAAGGTGCTTTTGTAATTGTTCTGAATGTTTTTGCTTGAAAGATTTGAAGTTTGTTTAAGAGAATCTTTTTTGCAGTTCCAAATATCTGTGATGCGTA